CTGCCAGAGGGAGTGGGGAGCCATAGCCCCGTCCCCCAGGGCATGAAGCAGGTATGGAGGAGATTCAGACTCCAGACATCCAGAGACCCCCAGAGTGCAAGAGTCCAAGGAAGACCAACGGAGGTGAAACCGTGAAAGAGCTGAGGAGAGCCCGAGACAAGGGGTCCAGGTCATTTACTAACAATAAGAAATTCTAGATTTCAATCAAAGCATTCATTTTAATCTGTTATTCAAAATCAATATTTCTAAATCTATTAGCTTATGCCAGGGCTTGTTTCACACAGCTGCAAACCTTAGCTGATTAGCTTAGATTTATAAGAAATAATCTTAAATGATACAATAACATGGTTTAGTCTAATACTACTCAGCTGGAAAAGATTCGGCTCAGAAATTTTATGACATATGGTAACCTTTTCTTACTTACTTTGAAAGTTTAAATCTGGATACTATTGCTTAATGTGTGTGTGTGTGTGGGGGGGGGGGGTTGTTTTGTTTTTTCTTTGCTGTCATTCATTCATTTTATTTACTTTTTTTATCTGTAGTTCAATTTTATCTTATTTCTTTCTTCTTCTCTGGCTGGGTTTTTGTTACACTGTTCTGGATAGGTGGTGGTGGTGGGGGGCAGTTTGTTAATACTGCTGTAATTGTTGTTAGAAGCATTTTTTTTTTTTTGTTCAATAAAAAGTTCAATAAAAATTCTTGCATGCGATAGTAATCTGATTAAAGATTATGATTAAAAAGCTTGCAAATACTAGTGGATTAACCATCACAGAAACAAATGATTTTGGTCAGTATTTTTAATTTAGGGCAGCTGTTTGGTTGGTGGTGGTCTAATACTTTTTTAAAAAAAACTAAACATGTGTGCAAACATGAATACATGGGTGTAGTATATAGACTCATGTGAAGAGTCTAGTTATTAGTCATATCAGTCATTCAATGCAAACATGAAGCTTTTACATGTTCTTTACAAACTGCAGTGAAGAAGCTCAGTTTAATCATTTCTTGTTCCGTTTCTATAAATTAAAAGATAAAACTTTGAAGTGTCTGTATATTAAAATATTGCCCAAAACAACAACACGGTTTATTGTAATAAATCATTTTTATTGTTTCCCAGTTTCAGTGGAACTACAAAACAAACAAAAAAATACAGAGGCAAAAAAGCAGATAAAAATTAAAGTGTTTTTTCTTCATTGCCAACCAGTGAGATTCTTCACGCTGACGCACGCAAACAACTTGCCTCTCTCCTTTCCAACAAACTGTACTGTAACATACCTTTTTCCATCTCAAAAACAAACAAAAGCAACAAATGCCACAACAATAAAACATATGCTAGTGAGGACTTTCTCACAAATAGCAAACAAACCAAAAAGTCTAACCACATTCTTTGATCCAAACCCCTGAAAACTTAGGCAGTGGATTGATTAATGGAAAATGTGCACTTACATTCATTGCTTGTAGCTCATGAGAGAATTCAACTAGTTGCCATGTTTTTAAAAAAAAAAAAAAAGTTAATTTATTTTAAACCATTTCTTGTCTGTACTTCAGAGATATACAGTACACAGATTAAAGTCATGTAATGCCTTTTCGGTATATGAATGCACTTATTCACTAGAAATTAAAGCAAAAAAATAAAATAATCAAATAAAAAAAAAAATAATAATGATGCTAGTTTTAAAGGGAAAAAAAATTAACAAAATTTGGTTCGTAACAGTCTTTGAGTAAAGCTTGTTATAAACAGCTACGCTAACTTAGCTAAGCTAAGTACATTCACAGCTGCCCTAGCTCAAACTCAGAGGAAACAGAATGTCTACATGCATTAATATTTGTGACCACATTATATGCATACATGCACAATAGTGTAAGAGGCTACAGTCAGAGTATGTAAAGATTTTCATTGAGATCAGTTTAATTTTTCCATATTTAATTGAATCACAGAAGTAGTTACAATCAAAAAACAAAACAAAAAAAAAAGTTGATTTTCAGTCCAAATGTTATTCTTACAGCTTATATTTGTCCTGGATATGCGTCCTAGTCGCTAATGTACACATTTCATTCCTGAGTAAAACCTCATTCTCAGCTCATAATCTAAAATATAGGAGTGGAGAGTGTGTCTAAAAGCAGAGTGTTTAAAAACTTCCAACAGTACAGCGGACTTCACGGAGAAGAGAGTGCGTCCACTTCCCGGTCGATGAACTGCAGGTGGATGGGGGCACCGGGGCAAAGCAGGCCGTGGGTTTTGGCTTTGATGTCAGCAGTGAGAGGAGAAAGGCAGATGTGGAACTTCTGAATGAGCTGCACAGCGAGCAAAAAGACAAAGAACAGACATCAAAGTTAGCTTAATTTAGTAGTCACATTATCCATGAGCACACTTTTATGTAGAACCATAAAAATAAGATGATAATCGTTTAAAATAAATAAAAAACAGGGAATGTGAGGTGTGTGATATAGAGAAGTGAAGGATGAATCATCTTTCGACAAACTCCTCAGTAGATCTGAGGAAGCGGAGGTCAGACTGAATGATAATGCATTTTTTGTGCTCAATGATGATTCAAATTTTCCAGGAGTGTCTTGACAAAGCTTTGCATTATTCTGATTTTGCATCAGTAATTACTATTTGTGTTCATACTGTCTCAAGACACTTGGAAAATACAATATGGAGCAACAGTATGATACATTAATATTTGTAGTTTAGTTTCATTTCCCCCTGTGCTCTCGTCACAGCACGAGCCTGAGAGCAAGAGAGAAATGCTAACGACAGCTGGGTTTCTGTAGGTTTAAATAAATTACTTGTAAGATGTTTTTAGGATTATATAAAATGGCATTTATGATATTTTCCATCCATATTGTACTTACCAATTAAATTAACATTATTTTACAAAAATATATATTTTTATTATTAAAGAAGACAATAAACAAGCTCACATGCTCACATAGGTGTGTTCAGCTAATGCGATGAGGTTGCATTAGTGGTTATGGGATCTTTGTTTTGTTACTGGTTGCAGTACACATCTTTTCCCACTCAAAAAAAATTTAAAGCAAACACTGAGGCCCGTCAGATTTTAGAGTCTTTGAAATCCTATAGTATTCCAGACTTTTTAAAACCTTCTTGAGAACCCTGGACATTTTTTAAATGAAAGTGTAGCACCACAAGCAGAGTAATCTCTTACCCTTATGAGAGCTAAATGCATCTCCAACTCTGCAATTCTCCTCCCAATGCAGCTCCTGATGCCATAGCCAAAGGGAATGGAGCCAAAGTTGTCAACACGATCTGTGGTATCTTTCCGTATCCAGCGATCTGGTTGAAAGTCTAAAGGCTCCGAAAAGTTCTCTTCTTCCAGAGATGTGGAGTAGTGGCACAGGGCCAGCTGAGTCTATTTA